CACCTGTACACTGTCAAAGTCACAATAATAATAATGATAATGCTGTTTCTGACTCTTCACTTGCAGCTGCTTCGAGGGTACGTTTCATAAAAAGGTGTTGCATCAGCTAAAATCTTGGTGCAGGAGGAGAGTCTCAGCTTGCACGAGTAATCAAAAGAATCTGCTATCCTCAAATAGTGTAAATTTGTGATTTAGCAAGGTTTCAAGGCGCATTGAATTATTGGATTTATTTTCACTGGCTTTAGTGGATTTTATATGAATCATAGAATAGAATCACAGAATCGTTTGGGTTGGAAGGGACCTCAAAGATCATCCAGTTCCAACCCCCCTGCCATGGGCAGGGACACCTTCCACTACATCAGGTTGCTCAAAGCCCCATCCAACCTGGCCTTGAACACTTCCAGGGATGGGGCAGCCACAGCTTCTCTGGGCAACCTGGTCCAGTGCCTCACCACCCACTGAGTGAAAAATTTCTTCCTTAGATCTCATTGAAATCTCCCCTCTTTCAGTTTAAAGCCATTGCCCCGTGTCCTGTCACTACACACCCTTGTAAAAAGACGCTCTCCAGCTTTCCTGTAGGCCCCCTTTAGGTACTGGAAAGCTGCAATAAGATCACCCTGGAGCCTTCTCTTCTCCAGGCTGAACAGCCCCAGCTCTCTCAGCCTGTCTCAATAGCAGAGGTGCTCCAGCACTCGGATCATCTCCATGGCCTCCTCTGGACCCGCTCCAACAGCTCCACGTCCTTCTGATGTTGGGGACCCCGGAGCTGAACGCAGTATTCCAGGTGGGGTCTCCCGAGAGCAGAGCAGAGGGGCAGAATCCCCTCCCTGGAACTGCTGCCCACGCTGCTTTGGGTGCAGCCCAGGACACTGGTGGCTTTCTGGGCTGCCAGCGCACGGTGCCGGCTAATGTTGAGCTTCTCACCCACCCGCACATCCAAGTCCTTTTCCTCAGGGCTGCTCTCAATGAGGCTATTGGGAAACTTTGTTTTCCACTAGAACAGAGGGGAGTATCTGGGCACGTCTTCCCTAAGCAAGGACATCATTGCAGCAGTCTGATCGCTGTAAGACTGTAATTAACTCCTTGCAAGAAGAAGGAGGATGATAATTTTGGCGTGTTCGTGCAGCAGCATTGTTTTCCGTACAACCATCCTGTCACTTTACCAGGCTCTGTGTTTTGTAGCAGTCTGGGGGCAGTCGTGCATCCTGTCATCTCAACGTGAGCTTTGTGAAATTGCTGACTGTGATGAACAGCGTTCGTGGTGACGGAGCAAATGTAGCTTTCGTTAAATCCATGTGGTTAAGTCAAAAGGTAGTTGTTGTGAATCATGAGGATGTCTTACTTCAGCGTAGAACTGTGTAACAGTAAGAGTGATTTCTAGGAGCTACAGTAAAAGTTGAGGACTTTTAATCCTCAGCTGTTTTTTCAGTTGATGTTCTTGGAGGAAGTAATAATAAGCACTGGACGAAGAAATGTAGTATGTATCTAGAGTTTTTATTTACTGCAAATTCTAAGGGTCTGCCAAATCCTTCAGGTATTGTACCAGGCCCTTTTATGCTAGGCTGCCACTTCTGACTGCTGGCTGAGACCAGAGTTTGGGCTCATGAAGAAAAGTGGAGGTTTGCCACCTTAAGATTCAGATCCAAGAGAGAAGTTGTCCAAAAATTGACCAGCTGAATTTGAGAGCAGCAGAATTTGTGTTCAAGTTTCTTGTCTTTATACATGGCAGTCCCTGTTAACTTGACATACTGATCTTGTCCTCACTTATTTTCACATTTTAAAAAACAAAAAAAAGAGGGTGCTAGCTGCATATGATTAAACTTATTTTCAGGAGATTTATTTTCTGAAAAATGCTCATTTTCTGCTAAAATTATGTCTGCGTTAAGGCTCAAGTGTCCCTTGCAATGACCAGGAGGAGGTGTTACCTTTCATCATGACCTATGTCATGACCATGACTAGATATCCACAAGTGTTACTGTGTCCTTTTCTCAGAGTCTTTCCACTGGCAGAAGCTGAGTGTTGTACTTGGTGGGACCTGCTATCTCCAAACAAGTCAAGTTTCCTACATTTCCAGTGAGGGTTAAGTCAAAAGAGGAAAGGTAACAACAATGCTGTTGTTACAGCAGCTGTAGCGTTGTCTGGTGTAGGCAGATGTGAAAATAGGAAGCACTATTTGAAACCAGGCAAGTAGCTCTTGGGTATTTGTGGTTTTTTCTGCAGTAGCACTATTGCTAGTTTCTCCTGAGCACTTGAGAGCCTTCTCCTCTTGTCACTAGTTGAGCCATCACTACTTCTGCGTCAGAGCTCGTGAGAAAGTGAGTGCTGACATGTTCCCTCTAGCTCCTGGTAGCTCCGTGCAGATTGAGGAAACCTGCCCTTCCAGCCCTGGGCTGTTCCGGCTCTGTAGAAGTTGGCAGCTTAGGAGCTGAAACTCACCTCATCAGCTCCGTCTTCCCAGGTCTGGCTTCACTTGCACTGCTTTTTTGTGAATTTCCCTCTTAGCAGTGTACACCACTGCTCTTTCTGCCTGATGTTGTCTTCCTTTTAGCGCAGGAAAAAGTAAGGTCCTGCTGTAGGAGTATCCTCCGTAATTTTTTTCATTTTACTTGCAAGGACTGGTGTTCAATCCTGCTGCTTCCGTGCTAGCTGGTCCTTATCGCTTGAAGTAGTACATGTCTGCCATCAGTAACTTTGTTGGTCTCGATGCCTGCCTTTTAAGTCCCTAAAAAGAAAGCAGGGATGACTGAGTGAAGAAATCAGATAGTTCCACTGTGTGAAAACAAGAATGGCCTCTTGCTTTTAAGGATCTTTATAGCTGTTAATGTGATATTGAAGCTCAAAGCCAGGGAAATCGTACTGTAAAGGTTGGTTTGCTCAGGCACCCACACAAGCTGTCAGGCCTCATTTCTGCAACAGATGTGCTGTTGATATTCCAGAATAGAAGACTCTTCAAAAACTTCAGACTTTTTCTTCCCATAATGAAGAGTTAAGGAGTATAAGGAGGAGTCTAAAGCAAAACCACTCATCTTTTTTGAAGAAGCTGTCTCTGAGGTTCCTCTTCAACCGAAGTAGCGTAATTCTGGCCTGCTTTATAAAATAGCTGTCCCTCCCTAAGTGGACAGCCCAGTATTTCATGAAAGTCTGGACGAGGAAGGTCACAAGTGTGGCATTTCTATAATGAAAGTAAGGTGATGGAAAAGGTTGAACACTGTTGTGAATCTGCCCTGCAAACCCTTGCATTTCGTTTTTCATTCCTATAACCGTGATTGTGTTTGGCTCTGTGTCCCTAAACGTGTGCGTTCACAAACTTTTGCTAATGGTGCCTGTAAATACTTTTCTTTCCATGTATTCAGGGCCACAACTGTTCGTTACAAAGGCAGAAACCTTCGTATCAAAGCTCCAATGTGCAGGGCTTTGAAGAAACTCTGTGATCCAGATGGTAAGTGAGAGACGCTGGAACGGGAAAGGGTTTTGACAGATGGTCAGAAGAACACGAGAGGGAGCAAGCCTGTTCTGATGTGTGCCTCGCTGGCAGGGAATCTGTGCTGCTTCGTGTTTGTGTTGGGCACAGATATGTCCCTATTGTCTTGCTTATCCTGTTTGCTTGCATAATCCCAATAATTTTAGGACCCACCCAGCTCTCTGAGTCTCGGAGCATGTCACTAGATTGGAAAGGAAATAGCTACACACCAGACAGGATCGCTACCGCTTTGCCAGTTGTGCTTTCACTCTGTGCAAAGTTTAATCCCTTGTGCCAGGGAATAGCAGTAGTATGTTGTTCAGCACTGAGCATTTTAGACTTTTTTTACCTCCTTCAGTTCAGCTATGTGTGATTTTTTTTTTATTACTATTTTTTTCCTCTTCCTTCCCCCTTAGTAAGTAGAATCAGTGCAGTTCAAAGGTCTGAAGTACTGTACTTGTTCAAAGTTTCCAGCCACCTGATTCTGACACTGCTTGCTCAACTGAGAGCTCCAGTACCACTGCAGTGTCCAAGGCAAAAAATAAGTGTATTGGAACAGGAGGTAATCTAAGGAAGCAGGCTCCACTGGTGAAGCTGAGCCGCCTAAATTGTCTGTGGGTGATGCTGTTGTCTGTGATGGTTTTTTGATGTAACTGAGCATGTAGCGTTCCGACCGCATTGTCCTTGCTTTGACCCATGCCCTTTGTGCTTCATCTCCCTTCAGGCGTTAGTGATGAAGAGGACCAGAAGCCAGTACGTCTTCCTCTCAAGGTCCCTGTGGAGTTGCAGCCACGAAATAATCATGCCTGGGCTCGAGTACAGAGTCTTGCCCAGAATCCACGGCTTAGGTAATGAAGAACGGATTGTGGTGCTCAGAATAGAAGAGGCAAATACATGAGCAGCATTCTGGCATCTTCCTCCCTCTTCAAGGTTCTCTTTGCTAGCTGGGCAGGTCATCTTTGATAATGCAGTCTGCTTAAATGTACTTATTCTGAAGCCTTTGCCCAACCAGAGTATGTGATTGTCGTAAACATGAGAGATCAGGCTTGAAAATCCATTGTTCTTTGTATCTTTTAATGATAGAAGCTACTAGAGTTGGAGATGAATGTTCTTTGTTCCATTTACACCCAGTTGTACCTGCAGAGTTTACACCTGCAGAGTGCAGGTGAAATGGAGACACACAGCATTAGTTCTACTAAAATTTCTGTCGAATGTACCGTGAGATGGAGGCGCGGGGGGGGGAGGTAGAGCAGTGGTCAGAGGCAGCTGCACCAGGACTCTGACCTCGTCAGCTGCAGTGCAGTGGTGCCAGCAGAAAGGAAGGTGTTTGTAGTTGGTGCTGCTATTCCGGGGTCAGCAGTGGCTGCGCATCGCAGTACTTGCATCTCGTCCAGAACTCGGGTAGGAAACACGAGGCCCCTGTAATGTCAATTGTCCTGTCATCTAAGTACTTCGTGTGGTGACCAAAGATCACACAGAGGAGAATGAAGATTTTTGGCATTAGGTTTGTTTTGTAAAGTGATTTGAGAGCAAAAAGTAAATGTTTGGGCTGGGTTTTATGCCCCTTTTTCTCTTTCTTTCTATACTTCACGTGGTAGCTGTGTGTCTTGCCAGTGCTTTTGCAGTTTGGCTAAATCTTGCCATCTTTTCCTTATCTTCTTCTTCTATCTGGAGAAACTAGTGTCTTGAATCATGGCAGTCAGATTTATCTGGTAGGCTTTTAGATCTTTCTCAGTTGTGAGTTATCCAGATTTTAAAGTTGCAGAATCACATATGTTTTTCTTCCCTTAATTCCCATTCTAGCATCAAGACTATGATTTGAAATGCTGCTGAAACTTTTTCTCTGTTCACTTGCTTTGTTTATCTTGCATGCAGGATGATTGTGGAGTTACATCGGAAGGTCTCCAGCCTCATCGAGTTCCTGAAGCAGAAGTGGGCTCTCCATGAAGTGCGCATCGTATCCTTTTCTTCTTGCAGTCTGTTCTGTATGCTGTGTCCTGGGAGCAATTCCCTTCCAATTCTAAGTTCATTTTTGCATCAAAAATGTGATTGTACCTCATAAATTTACCGGCTTGTGCCTAGTAAAGGTAGAGGTCAGTATCTCAGCGTCACTAATGGAGACTTTTGTGGGAAATCCCGAAATATTCCACTTTTATCTCAGCTCTTCTCTACTATGATCCCCTGAAAAGCTAGTTAGCAGTAAATGAAGCTCCCTGCCTTTATTTAAATTGCTTAAACGGTGAGCTTAGTCTGCTTCATTATAGATGGGTGACCACTGTAGAAGCCTGGATAATAATTGATGATTTTGTTTCCAGTTTCTGCAGAGATTAAGGACAGATCTTTCCACTTGCTTTATGCCGTTTCACCAAATGAAGACTTAAGCTTCTTGTCTAGGTAGCTGCTGCTACCTGTTATGTATCTCTGTGCTGTCTGAGCCGTACAGCATTAGAGGTGTCCCTGCCTCTGAGCCTTGATCAACTTCTGGCATAGAAGGATTTGTGAGTTACAGCCATTCCGTTCTGTTGACTGGTATGCTATATCCTGCTCTTAGTCCTTTAATTCAGGCTTTTGCTGTGAATTTGTGAGCCTGGAAGAAGTAGCAGCACAGCCCTTGAAACTTAGAAGGATGTCAAAGCGTGTATCATGGAGGTTCCTGCACAGAAGGGGGAGTCTGTTTTGCTGAGCCGTCACATTACGGGTTTTTGCTCAGTTTTGTTGGGGTTTATTAGTTGGTGGATTTTTTTTTTTTTTTTTTTTTTTTTTTACTATTACAGTGGTGTGTGAAGCAGAGATAAGTGATGTCTGGAACAGAGATTTGGTTTGTGCTTGAAGCAGGTCTTCAGTGTAGTCTTCATCACCACAAAAGGACTTAATTTCTGGTCACAGAGTCTTCATATGTGTGCTGGAGAGAGAACATGTCCTTTGATCAGCTATGGATTTTTGTTGGTCGTTGTTTTCTTTTTTTCAGCTTGCAAAATAGGCTGCCAGGTGCTTGGTTGGAAGGGGCAGATGACTGTTGTATTCTTTGACACATCTGTTTTAGCGTAAAACACTAGAAGAACGGCAGCTTCAAGACTCCAGAGACTCAGAAACAAGAGGCAGCTTCTCAGAGGAGAAAGTGATGCTCCATCTCTTTCCAGGAGAGAATTGCACACTCACTCCGCTCCCTGGGGTAGCCAGAGTGGTCCACTCCAAGGCTTTCTGCACAGTGCATTGGCAGGAGACTGGCAAATGCAAACAGAACACAAAAGACTCTCACTTGCTACCCCCTGCACAAATCCTGGGCATACAGAGTGGTCAGGGGACGGCTAGGGGACAGCTGAAATACACGCGGGGAGCAGAAGGTAAGGGTGTGGGAAGGGCAGAGAGCACTACAGAGTCCAGCAGAACCTCTCAGCCCATGGCTGAAGTTTCTACAAGCACCGACGATGGCACCCCGGAGTCCGGCCTGGTGGAAGGAACAGCCTCAAATCTTGGCATCACTAATTCTCTCCAAACACTGCCTTCTGGACTTCAAGATCCAGGAGGGAACCACGAAAAGCTGAGCTCGTTGGCCTTCTGTGTGGAGGGCAGGGAGGCCCTGGCTAGTGACCAAGCAACTGTGCTGCCATCGTGCAGCACAGCCTGTGCTTGCAGTAAGATCCCTGACGTGGAGGAACTCTCTCTGCTCGATCCATTCCCACGGTACATGAAATCCTGTCAGGACCTGATCGTCCCAGAGAAATGTTCTTGCACAGACAAACTGCATGGGAAAGACTGTACTCCAGCAGCTGGAGATACTTCTCCTGTGGCTTTTCCAAGCGGGAGAAGCACAGAGACATCTGACTCCTGTTCACAGCAACCGAGAAGTGGTGTGGCTTCACCCAGCAGTGGCCCGTCCAGATATGAAACTCAGGCTAGCCACAGCCAGGGCCAGCAGCTTGATGCTTGTACCAAGGATATCACAGATGCAGTAATGGAGGACTCTCAAGAGAAGCTGGGCTCCTCATTTCCACCTCCACCTCAGGGACAATCTAGTACAAAGTCTCTCAAGGATGACCCAAGCCGGCTTTCTCAACAGGTTAGAGAAGAAGGATGGAGTCTACGAACTTCTGAGAGCCTTACGCTGGCTGAAGTCTACCTCATGATGGGCAAACCGAACAAGTTGCAGCTGGAATATGACTGGTTGGCTGTCTTGGAGCCAGAAACCCGTGATGCGAGGGAGCAAACGTCCGAGTCAAGTGCTGTTCCTGCATGTTCCACCTTTCACAAGCAGAGACTCCTAAACTGCCTTCTAAAACTCATCTCTACTGAAGTCAATCCCAAACCAGTAAGTACCTCTTGTTCATGCTCCAGATGCTAAACTGTTATTTGATCCGGGGAATAATTGCCCAGTTGTGTTTTCATAGTAAATCAATGACCAGCCTTGTCAAGATCTTGGAGATGCCTGTGTTTAAAAAAAAAAAGCAAACACCACCACAACCCAGCTTGCTACGGAGTGGACTTTTCCTCAGTGTGCCACGTTTCCTTTTGCACTGCCTTTAGTTTGGGGTTTGCTGTGAGTCGCAGTGCTGTTACAGTGATGGTTTCGTGTGACTGCTGAACAGATCAGTCGGGAGGTTAGGGCAGGTTTGGGCCTTCTGTTCTCGCAGGTTCGTGGAACCATAGAACAGCCCAGCGTGGAAGGGACCTTGGGACGTCGGCTGGTCCAACCATTTGTGGGAAATGGAGCCTAGATGGCAAAGGGAGCCATGTGCCACGTTTCCTTTTACACTGCCTTTAGTTTGGGGTTTGCTGTGAATGGGAAATGGAGCCTAGATGGCAAAGGGAGCCTACATCAGATTAATATTCCGTGTGAAAACTGCAACCCTTAATTTCCAATGTTTGTGTAGTTCAAGTTACACCAAGCGTAAGTCTGAAACAGGTTTATTTCTCTGGGACAGCGTAGCAAATACAGCTGTGCCTGCCACCGTGATTTCTGTAAAAATTCCCAGACTCCAGCGCAGTTGAACAGACCCAGGAAAATATCTTCTTCCTGGGAATGAACAACTGGGAATGAACTTGCTTTACTTCTTGTGCGTCGTAACCCACGTTGAACATCTGCCCCTAAGATACCTGGGCAGCCACTTCCACCTCGTGCAACTGACTGGAACTTAGTAAAATATCTTTTTAGAGACCACACAGACTCTGAATTCAGCAGATCTGGCTGAAAGCCTGTGGTGCAGATACGAGTTAAAGATACCGTTTGCATCATATTCCAGCATTTCACTACTCCCAAACACACGTAGTTCTTCCATCTTTCTTTGTTGGTGCAGGCTTAACTCCCCTCAAAGCTCCTTTTGATCCTGATTTTATAGACATAGAATGTAGGATTTTATAAATTTTAAACCATCTTTGCTCAGATACAGCTCCAGATATAGACTTAAATTAAACTGTGAAGACTTTTGGTCTGACATCTCTCAGATCTCCTCTTTTGGCATCTACTTCTGGTGGCACATGTGACAGCCAGGGATGACATTGTTAAACAATCACAAACTAGAAAGAAGGACATCTCCTTAGACTTGAGAGGACAGGGATAGAAGAGGAGGGGAAGAACTCAGCAGTTATTATTTGCAAGTGTTTTCCTGTCACACTAGCACCGTTAGTGCCTTAGTCACCGTAGTGCCGTGCTGCTGAAGAGGGAAGCAGCGCTTTCAGATACGTTCCTCCTCGTACATTCTAACAAAAAGATGTAGCGTAACCTTTTCTTTTGTTTGTCAAATACCACTTGATACCGGCTGCATTTCAGAAAAAGAGATGCTCTTCTTGTGGCAATGAATGTCGTGGGAGTGATACATATTCCAGAGATGAGGATGATATTCATAGAGTGATAGAATGCTTTGGGTTGGAAAAGACCTTCAAGATCATCGAGTCCAACCGTTAACCCGGCGCTGCCAAGCCCACCACTAACCCACGTCCCTCAGCACCACATCTACAGGTCTCTTAAATGCCTCCACCCATTCCCTGGGCAGCCTGTTCCAATGCTTGACAACATTTTTGTGGGAGAAATTTTTCCTCATATCCAATCTAATCTAAACCTCCCCTGGTGCGACTTGAGGCCGTTTCCTCTCATCCTATTGCTTCTTACTTGGGAGAAGAGACCGACCCCACCTTGCTACAGCCTCCTTTCAGGCAGCTGTAGAGCGATAAGCTCTGCCCTCAGCCTCTTTTTCTCCAATTTCATCCAGTAATGACAGGAAACATAATGTTATTGCCACAGGGTACTTCACCAGAGGAAGGCCTGGTTGTCTAGATCCCTGCTATTTTCTTAACATAATATGTAAAAATGCCAAAATGGCCAACTGCTGTGGTTCGTTCCTTTAAATGAAGATTACCAGCATAAAACAAGCTGTAGCAAATTTGGTTGCAGTCAAGTGTGGGTGGTAATTTTATGCCCGGGGTTGCACCACAGATTCCTTAAAAAGGGAGCGTTTCTAGAAAAGGTGTTCAACAACTTAATGAAATAACTGGATAGGCCTGGAAAAACAGTAAAGCACCTTGCCGTGTGCCTCTTGTTGCTGCTCTGTTACAGTATGAAATAGGAGAAGGGATGGGAAAAATAAATTTTTTGGTCTCTACTTGATTAGAATTAAGAGCCAAACATTTTTGTCCAGGTATGCTTCCAAGCAGAGGAGCCCTCTGGATGGTTAGAGTTTATGAAAATTAGTTTTTCACTGAATTAAAACCACCACCTTTTCCCTTTCTGTGACCAATCTGTGTCGTTACCTTTTTTTTTATGCTGGGTGGTCTGGCACACTGTACGAAGCTGGTTGAGTGTTAACCCCATTGTGACATGAATTGTTGGTGCTGAACTGGTGACGTTTAACACGCTGAAATGGGCAGGAGGTGAGTTTCGGCTGCCCACCACGCGCACGCAGAGGTGTTGGTTAGAGCACTTACAGGTGCTGTAGTGGGTCAGGTTATTTTTTTGAAGCTCCCTAAGCAGGATGGGTTTAATGATGGAACACTTGGAACACTACACAGCATTGGATGTGGAACACTACACAACGTGAACCTAACATGCTGGCATTTTTAGGTGCCCGAGATGAGCTCTGTTGCCACGTCACCCATAAAGCCTGCTCAAGAGGAGCAGTCGCTGACTCCTCCGGGAAAGGTGATTGCCATCAGCTCCAGGAGCCCGGGCTGTGCGCGAAACCAGGCTGCCCTTCGCAACAACAAGACTTTTTCTCCTGCTGCTGCTGCTGCTGCTTCCAGCTCCTCAGGTGAGTGTTCATAAAAATCAGTTCCAAGAGATCAAACCCTTGGTACCGCGTACCGTGGTGAGTACATCCCAGCAGTGTGGCACTGGGAGAATGATTGTTCTTGCTCTTACAAACTGAGCTGTTTAAGAACATTGGTATGTGCTAATTTGCTTTAGAGCTGTCAGTACTTCTTCGAATCTTGAAAAACAACGTGTCCGTAACACAGTTCAGCATCCAGCACAGCTCTCGCAAGCCGTTCGTACGGAGGTGCTGGCGTTTGTCAGGAGTTGACTGATACAGAGTGCGGGATCGCAGGAGAGCGACAGCTTACAGAGCAGGAAAGTAAATATATGGTGTGAAGTTTGTTGATAAAATAGTTACTGAATATTTCCTGTGCCATTCTGCCATCATAAAATACAGAATTATTATGAATTACCTTTTCTTTTAATAGAAGGTGCAGCTGCTATAACTTTTGTGCCCCAGTGATGCAGATCAAGAATTTCAGTTCTATTTTTCAGTCCGATTACATTTACCAGCACACGTTTTATGACTTCAGAAAGCCTGTGAAAGTGCCAGGGTTACTGGAAGCAATTGTGATCCCTACGCTGTCCTTTTCACACCTGTGCTGTAAGAAGCACTGGACCACGAGCAGTTTAACTGATGCTGTAAAACGTGCTTGGTGCTCTGCGTGGTTTTAGTTTAAAATGACATTATGACGTTAGAGCAATTTCATCTTTGTCTAAAGCTTCATTGCACTTACTTCCTCCTCAAAACTGTGCTGAGGCACATGGAAAATAAGGAGATGACTGGTGACAGCCAACATGGCTTCACTAAGGGCAAATCCTGCCTGACTAAGTTGGTGGCCTTCTGTGCCGGGGTTACAGCGTTGGTGGATAAGGGAAGAGCAACTGACATTGTCTACCCGGACTTGTCCAAAGCATTTGACACTGTCCCATGCGACATCCTTCTCTCTAAATTGGAGAGACATGGATTTGACAGATGGACCACTCGGTGGATAAGGAATTGGCTGGTCAGAGGGATCTTGACAGGCTGGAGAGGTGGGCTTGTGAGAACCTCATGAAGTTCAACAAGGCCAAGTGCAAGGTCCTGCACGTGGGCCGGGGCAATCCCAAACAAATTATAGTCTGGGCAGAGGATTGAGTCTTTGTCATCTCTCCTGAGGAGAAGGACTTGGGGGTGCTGGGTGATGAGAAGCTCACCATGAGCTGGCACCGTGCGCTGGCAGCCCAGAAAGCCAACCGTGTCCTGGGCTGCACCCAGAGCAGCGTGGGCAGCAGGGCGAGGGAGGGGATTCTGCCCCTCTGCTCTGCTCTCCTGAGACCCCCCTGCAGTGCTGCCTTCAGCTCTGGGGTCCCCAACATCAGAAGGACATGGAGCTGTTGGAGCGGGTCCAGAGGAGGCCACGGAGATGATCCAAGGGCTGGAGCACCTCTGCTATGGAGACAGGCTGAGAGAGTTGGGGCTGTTCAGCCTGGAGAAGAGAAGGCTCCGGGGAGAACTTCCAGCACCTTCCAGTGCCTAAAGGGGCTACAAGAAAGCTGGAGAGGGGCTTTGGACTAGGGTGTGTAGTGACAGGACACGGGGCAATGGCTTTGAACTGGAAGAGGGGAGATTCCGATGAGATCTAAGGAAGAGAAGAAATTCTTCCCTCTGAGGGTGGTGAGGCACTGGAGCAGGTTGCCCAGAGAAGCTGTGGCTGC